AAAAAGTGTTACACCTATAAAACTGCCTTTGCCAGACATTGATTGTATCCAGACAAACATGAAAATATGTTTGTATGCAATAATTGTAACAAGCCATTTAAGTCCAAAAACACACTAGAAAAACATTCGAAAGTTCACATTGAACAGTGTAATTAATACGTTTGCGTTTTTAATTGCGTTTTAGTAGTGTATGATATGAGAATGCCCATTCAGAAGTGAGTAATAGAAATTCAACACCGATGGAAACGAATTGTTTTAGTTAGTATAAAGTGTATATAATAAAGAATGAAAGTAAATAGTGGCACATATAGTATACATTTTAGAAATTAATAAATATTTTAATTATTTTCCCTTTCGAATAAACTAAATACAATAAATCCAAAATAAATGAATTCTAACGAATAATTAAATTCGTCCAAAAGAAGTTTTTTTAGATTTTATTATTTATTTTATTTGTATCTAATATATAATCGAGACGGGTTGATGATGATAATAATAATAATAATAAGCGCAGAGCCCAAACGGTTAGGAGTTGAAAGTTGAAATTTGGTACACAGATAGGGTACGTCATGAAAAGGCATACTAAGAAGGAATTTTTTGAAATCCCCCCGGGAGAGAAAGACAGGATTAAGGCTTACCACTTCCATCAACAATTGAAGTGTTAAATTAATGCTAAAATAGACAGAGTGGTGCTTCCAACCCACTATAGGAAAGGAGACCCTGCATAAGACAGCCAATGATAATAAAGAGCGACTTGTCAACTTAACCAGCGCTAGAGATCTGATAAACCATAGTACTAACTTCCTTAGGAAAAACATTCACAAACAAACATGGATATTTCCAGATGGCAAAACTAGGAACCATATAGATAATATACTCATTAACCGGAGATATCGTAATAGCATAAAAAACACATAGCAGAATGAGCAGAAGCAGGAACAGATCATTTCCTGTTGAGAGCCAGCATGAAAGTAAAACTCCAGGTAGTGACGAAGGACACGCAAAACCATCGTTAGTCATACGATGTACGGTACATAAACTCAAAGCTAATGACACCAGGCAACAATACCAGGAAGAAATACGAAAGGTTCTAGAATTGAATACGATGAAAGAGATGGAAATGAACAATCCAGGAAAGCAATGTGCACACCTATGTTAGAAATAGCCATAAAAACCTTACCTAGAGTACACAGACCAGGGAAACCATGGTTTAACCCTTGACTTCTTTCTTCATCTTCTTCTTCAAACAAATCTGTGAGAAATTTCCTTTTCTGCTGTCTAATAGTCTTCTTAGAATGTTTTCATGCCTCATCCTATTAATTTTTGATGTGTAGGTCTTCTGGATTGTCCAGCCAATTCATTCTTGCTTTCTTTTTTTGATTTACCACTTCTTCACTTATGCTGTTAATTTGTATCATTGCTTCCTCTTCTTTCAGGATAACTAGTAGATGTAAGCTAACTTCAGGTATTTTCGCGTAAAGGTTAGTTCACACTCAGCGAATAGATAAAAAGCAAATGAGAAAAGGAAAAACCGATCTTTATTCACTTAGCAACATTGACCATAACACGAAAAGCGAATGATTGCGAATTTTAAAGAGACAATCATTTGCAAGCAAGAGAAAATGTTAACTCGAAAAACAAAATGGCCGCATCCGATATTCCGTCGTTAACCACGTTTATTTATTCAGAAACAAAGTTATGTAAAAAAAACGATGCTGGTTGAGAGAAATATTAAAAATCCGTAATTATAACATTTACTCTATTGCGTGAGAAAATTTCCGTAGCCATCTTGAAAATAACAAGAACCACGTGATAACTAATGGGAATACGATTGGTGGCAATACTTTATCGCTAGCCAAAAATGCTGAACAGTTTCGAACTTCAAAGCGATTCGCAAAATCGTAAAATTCGTTGAAAACTACGTTATGTCTAACGTGTTATTCGCTTTGTTTTTCGCGTTCTCTAGCGAATCGCGCTCAGTGTGAACTAAGCTTAACTCAATACGTCGCGTGTAATTCCTCAATTAAAATTCATACAAACAAAGTGATCAAATTTAGAACGAAATTAATGTAGTGTTAAATGAGAAACACGCGGTAGAAACCGGTTTATTAAAATTAGAAGATTAATGGTATATACAGTGGTACCTCGGTAAACGTCTTCTTTAGAATACGTCCAATTTGGAATATGTCCTGTTTGGACGAAACAAATTATGCTCGGTATACGACTTTTGTTCGGTATACGATTTAAATCAATTATATGCGCCATCTATGAACAAGTAGCACTATCGGTGTACTAGACCAGAGTATACGTTTGCGGTGCAACGGTTTATGACTTTGTTAAATTTCTTCTCATTTTAATTTGTAAGTAAAATTTTATTATTTTTATTAATCATGAATTGCAAAAAGGCAAATGAAAAGCAACAGAAAACTATAAAATGACTAGGATCACAATGGAACCGAAAAAAGAAATTGTTGAGAAATATGAAGATGGCATGCGTGTTCGAGATTTTAACTGTTGCATACCGTATTCCGAGAACGACCAGAGTTTAATCGTGAAAAATAAAAACATTATTAAATCTGCTAACGTTGTGAAAGGGGTTAAATCAATTTCTAAACAGAAATCGAAGACATTAGATCACGTTGAGAAATTGCTTTTGCTTTGGATAACTGAAAAACACTGTGCTGGCGATAGCGTATCAGAAGCAATTATTTGCGAGAAAGCTAAAAAGATACAAGCTGATCTCATGAAAAATCAAGCAGGTAGTAGCCAGGAAAACGAGGTGTTTAAAGCCAGCCATTTTTTTCACGTGAGAACGGATTAATCATTTTTACATTACTTCTTATGGGAAAGGTTGGTTTGGTATACGTCCTATTCGGTATAAGTCCAAACATCAGGAACGGATTAAGGTCGTATACCGAGGTTCCACTGTATTTCGAATTATTTTTCTCCGAAGTTAGTAGTAAACCAAACAACTACAAATACGTATTAAGTTTGCCCGTGTTAGACAGACACCTTGCTTCCCTCGCCCATGCACTAAACACTGTGAATTTTCACATTGTATGTTTCCAGTTACAGGTCGATCTTTTGTCTAAATTAAATACACATTAAGTAATCATTCGAAAGTTATTTATTTTTGATTAATAATTACAAAGAAACAAACAAGTCACAAAAAACATCTTAGAACGTTTAAAAATTGATTTCATAAAGAATTCAACATTTGTTATTACAATAACTGATTGATTCTATTTTGAATATCTTGTTGGGCTGCAATCTTAAAAATCTGTAGATCTGAAAATTCCCGCTGTCTGTCAGTATCGCTTTTTTGTTAATCTCGAGAACAGAAATGGATGGATGAAATCCGAAAAACCATATCAGACGAGGAAACCGTACAGTCCGAAGACCATGATTAAGTACGTAAGAACTTCTGATGTAAACCGGAAGATATTATACCTTATTTTAAGTTTTCTCGTGAAAGGGGTTAGATAGACGATCGGCACGACTCTATTGTTAAACGAAAAGTATGGTGTACAGAAGCAACACATTACTAATTTCAAGAAGAGACCATATAAATAAATTGAAGAAAATAAATTAAAAATATGAGTAAAAACTGCAGCCCATCATTGTGGGAATGTCATAATAAAAATTGCTGGTTTTTCTTAATTAAAATAAATTTTTAACACAAATTACAAACAAGATAACGTACAAAGAACATATCTTTCATGGCTTTTTACATGTAAAAAAACTTTTAACTGCAAACATCATCACTACGCTGTGCTGCATTTTTAATCGTATTTTTAATTTATTTTATTTTAAAGATGGTATTTTTTCATTTCAAATTAGTAGGGGGATTACCCGTGTACTTTCTTGCGAGCAATACAGTCGTGCCGTCTTGTAGCTAACTATTTTCAGTAGAAACTGTTAATTAAAATAACCTGCTTCCGTTGCAATCTGAAACTGTCCACTGGTTAATCTGGGCCTATCTTGTCACCACTTCTATCTATCTTATTCGGTCTTCGAGATTAAGCAAATACAGACATTCAGAAAAACAGTGCAAAATAGATCAACAGTTTTTTCAAATTGCAGGCAATTATTACCAACAAAATAGCGGTAGAAGCAATCAGGAAAATCTAAATATTTCAACCTATTGCCCTGTATAATATATTTCGTATATTAGTAAAAAACTATGTATTTCACACATAAAATTCTATTCTAAAAGATGGCTTTGCACGTGAAGTTTTAAAGTAATAAACGAACAAAATTTCTTATCACAAACATCACATTTTTTAACGCCTGAATCGGTATTTATTTTCATATGTCTATTTAAATAAGTCTGTGTCCGAAATGTCTTACTGCAAATTTCGCATTTATACTTTCCTCCTTGTGGATGAGCTGTCTTTTGATGAGTTTGAAATTCGATTTTCGACGTAAATTTCATCTTACAAACGTCGCAACAGAAGTGTATTTGATCCTTGTAAGCAAGTAGATGTTGCTCCAAATCATAACTATTTACGTAAGTCCGTTTACAGATATTACATTGGTAAGGTAATTGTTTGGGGTGTATTTCTGAACAAGAAAATTGTAAATGCAGTTTCAGTTTAATTTCTGTTTTAAATCTGCCTTTACAATGGATGCAAAGATGCTCCTTTTTTTCATGAACAGGTCGGTGCCTATACAGGCTAGATTTATCGTAAAAACCCTTCTTACATACCTCACAAAAGAAACGAAGACTGTCTTTATTGTGAGAATTTTGGTGACGTTTCAACTCAGAATTTGATATAAAACGTCTGTTACACACCTTACAAAGATACGGTTTTATGTCAAGATGAATTCTCTGATGAATGATTAAAGAGGTTTTAGACAATAACTCCTTTTTACAGATATTACATTTTTTAATATGAGTTTTCGAATGCGCTGTCAGCATATTTTTAGTTTTGAATGACTTATTACAATAACAGCAAACAAACATATTTTGATGTTGAACAAAACGATGTTTAACGAAACTAAATCTGGATTTAAATGCTGTTTTACATAAGTTACAAAAATACTTATCACTTCTATCTTTGTGAGTTCTTTCATGTCGTCTCAAATAGCGTTTTGTTTTAAAATGCTTGTTACATATCTGACAACAGTACTTGTGTTCATCGGTATGTATTACAACGTGCTCTCTTAAATGCACCTGTGATTTAAAACTTTTGTTACAAATCTGACATGAATGATTTAAGTCTCTATTATGAGTGATTTTATGATTTGTCAAAGAGCATTTTGTTTTAAAACTTTTGTTACACATCTGGCAAGAATACTTACATTGATCACTGTGAGTTTCACGATGCCTTTTTAACTGGCCATTTGTTTTAAAGCCCTTTTTACATATATCGCATTTGAAAGGTCGATCTTCACTATGAGTTTGTTGGTGTTGTCTCAATGAAGATCTCGTTTGAAATTCTTTTTTACATATCTTACAACAATGAGATACTTGGTGATGTGTTTTGTTATGCCTCTCTAAATTGCCCTTTGATATAAGTAGCTTATCGCAGATGTCACATCGAAAGTGTTTCCTCTTAGATACTTTACGTTCATTTGATGATGATGGCAAACGAAGTTTACTATGATCAATTTCGCTTTGTTTTGTACTGTTGTGTTCTTTCGTGTGTCTTTTCAATAGAAATTGCCAGGAAAATTTCTGATTGCAGGTTGTGCAGCAAAATGGTTTTTTTCCGATATGAAAGTTCAAATGCGCTTGTAGTATTTCCTTGTTTACAAAAGTCTGTTTACATAAATCACATTTGTGATTTTGTTTCGAGTGAGATGAAAGAGTTACTCTGAAATATTTTTTTTTAATCTTTCCTTGGATTTTGCTGTTGTATTTTCTAATTGAAGGGACGAATTTCGTCTTGTTTGCATTACACTTTTGTCTTTCTGAATTGTGCTGAATATCGTATTCTTCACTCACTTCTTTCTCATTAACTGAAATTTAAATGTTAAATACAATAATTACTTAATTTACTTTAAATTAAAACACAATATTCGTTATCCACTTAAAAGGTTTTCTTTATATTATATCATTAATTATTATTTTCATTTTATTATATTTATTTATATTTATTATATTATATTTATATTCATTATTTATATAATTTTATAGCTTAACCCTTCGGCACGCGCCTAGTGCCGATTAGGTACTAATCGATTTTTAATTAGTTCGTGTAAAAATTCTTATTGTGTGAAAAATCTGAAAAAATTATTACCTGTCTAATTTTTCTTCAATTTTACGATGCGCAATTCAGTTTTTGCTTAAAGCGTCTCATTATTTTTATTTAATTATTGGTGCCGAATCGGCACTATGGCGCGCGTGATCTCGGATTTCAATTTTCAAATTTCCCGCCAGTCGCTGTTACTAAAAATAGCTGCAGCTACGGCGCGCGCTTCTTCGCTTATAATCGCGTTATTATAAAGCGAATAACTTCTAAAAAACTGAAATTTGACCGAAAATAATTTAATTTCTTTCATTGGTATTTTTTAATCATTTTATAAAGTTTTATGACACCATCACATTTCCCTGAGTGGAAGTAACCAATTTGTTAACCATTTGACCCTCGGCTGACAGAGAAGGAAGTTTTTGAAAACAAAGTAATAGAGCGTTTAGCAGTTTGTTGTTTTTCACAGTGGAAGACTAGTAAGTCTATATAATAGACTCTAGTAAGACTTATTAGAGTCTATTATTTTCCAGAGAATAAATAATAGAGTTGAAAAATAGCACAATTCCGTGAAATTTAACAAATCTGATGTCAATAAAGGAAAGTTGAAGTTATTTATAGTGAGTTGATATTTTATAAGTTTAGTTTTTGCATTTATAAATCAAATTTTAAAAAATATAAATTTTTTATTTAAATAAATTTAAATAAAAAAATAGAATTTTTATTATTTAAATATAAATTCTATATTTTAACAAGTATTTTATACTGTTAGATAGTAGAGAAATCGAGTATTTAAGCATTTACTGTATATCAGTAAAAATAAAAAAATTGCGTTAATTTGGTTTATATATTTTGCCGTTACATTGCGCATGTAAGCTTTAAACTACAGTCAGAAATATATATTATTTTTATATGAATTTATTAATTATAATAAACATACATTATGTCTAAAATTTAATTAAAATAGCACTCTCTAATTAACATCTTAAATGAAGAAGTAATTAAATCGGGTCCCGCCGCCATCTTAAATAACGCGCGACGGTAAATAATCGATTTTGAGCGCGTCGCGTTGAATCAAATTAAATAATTTATAAAAATTAAAATAATAAGTATGTTTACAAAATAATTGACTATATCTATTCGCAATAGTACTGTAAAACACATCGTACTTATAGTTTAGCATTTCTGATAACAATTAATTAATTTTTGAATTTTTTTATATTTTATATATAAAATGCGAATAAAAAAACATAAATGCGTAAAACTTAATTTAAAAAATATCTGCAACTTCAGAAAACACATATATATTATAATCTATCAAAAAAAGTTAGTTAATAATAATTAAAATCGAGAAAAAAAATAAAACTTTCGAGGTAAAATAATTTCTGTGGTAAAAAGTGAGGTAAGCGATCACGTGACGCCCGTCTCCCCATCGTCTATAACCAAAACGGCCGAGGGTGAAATAAAAGCGAAAACATCAGTAGAAGTAAAAACAAACATCGGCGCGTATCTAGGACTATATATTTGAACGGGAGCGAAGATGAAACACGACACTTTGTAATTTATGCTAATTACCTTCTAATATTAAAAAATTAAAATCATCAACAGAATTATAACAAAATTAAAGTTTTTTGACTAAATTCGACTACAAACATATCGTAAAACTGGATTAAAGTAAAAATACTCGTTTTACGACGCTAAATTTTTATTAATTAATTTTTTAATTTGGTGCCTAATTGACCGAGCGCGCGTAATTTTTATTTGACGGAGCACGCGCGTGCCGAAAGGTTAATAATTAATGATATACTGTAATATAAAATAGCTTACGTTTTGTTTCTGATAATAAATTGTGTTACTTTGCTGCTGAATTGAGCCTTTATTGAAATTTGAAATAAATGTCATGATTTAATACCTGTGATAAATTTTTGTAATAATTGTTGTGATTAATGAAAAAAGACCAATATTCCTTCATTATGTACACTTACTTTCCTGATTGGTACACATAACATGGCGATCGTTCAAGAATATGACCGCCCAAAATTTTGACATTTTTGGGCTGAGGTCCTTTCGGTTAAAAAATGTAAAAATTTTATTGGGCAGCCATTGTATAGGCAGATTTAAACCAAAAAGTAAAATTTAAAATGTCTTAGCGTGGCCACTCTAAGACATTTTAAAAATTCTTTAAATTGTGTACAATAAACGAATAAATAATTTTAAAAATGTATTAGATTGGTAACTTGATATGATAANGAGAAAGACAGGATTAAGGCTTACCACTTCCATCAACAATTGAAGTGTTAAATTAATGCTAAAATAGACAGAGTGGTGCTTCCAACCCACTATAGGAAAGGAGACCCTGCATAAGACAGCCAATGATAATAAAGAGCGACTTGTCAACTTAACCAGCGCTAGAGATCTGATAAACCATAGTACTAACTTCCTTAGGAAAAACATTCACAAACAAACATGGATATTTCCAGATGGCAAAACTAGGAACCATATAGATCATATACTCATTAACCGGAGATATCGTAATAGCATAAAAAACACATAGCAGAATGAGCAGAAGCAGGAACAGATCATTTCCTGTTGAGAGCCAGCATGAAAGTAAAACTCCAGGTAGTGACGAAGGACACGCAAAACCATCGTTAGTCATACGATGTACGGTACATAAACTCAAAGCTAATGACACCAGGCAACAATACCAGGAAGAAATACGAAAGGTTCTAGAATTGAATACGATGAAAGAGATGGAAATGAACAATCCAGGAAAGCAATGTGCACACCTATGTTAGAAATAGCCATAAAAACCTTACCTAGAGTACACAGACCAGGGAAACCATGGTTTAACCCTTGACTTCTTTCTTCATCTTCTTCTTCAAACAAATCTGTGAGAAATTTCCTTTTCTGCTGTCTAATAGTCTTCTTAGAATGTTTTCATGCCTCATCCTATTAATTTTTGATGTGTAGGTCTTCTGGATTGTCCAGCCAATTCATTCTTGCTTTCTTTTTTTGATTAACCACTTCTTCACTTATGCTGTTAATTTGTATCATTGCTTCCTCTTCTTTCAGGATAACTAGTAGATGTAAGCTAACTTCAGGTATTTTCGCGTAAAGGTTAGTTCACACTCAGCGAATAGATAAAAAGCAAATGAGAAAAGGAAAAACCGATCTTTATTCACTTAGCAACATTGACCATAACACGAAAAGCGAATGATTGCGAATTTTAAAGAGACAATCATTTGCAAGCAAGAGAAAATGTTAACTCGAAAAACAAAATGGCCGCATCCGATATTCCGTCGTTAACCACGTTTATTTATTCAGAAACAAAGTTATGTAAAAAAAAACGATGCTGGTTGAGAGAAATATTAAAAATCCGTAATTACAACATTTACTCTATTGCGTGAGAAAATTTCCGTAGCCATCTTGAAAATAACAAGAACCACGTGATAACTAATGGGAATACGATTGGTGGCAATACTTTATCGCTAGCCAAAAATGCTGAACAGTTTCGAACTTCAAAGCGATTCGCAAAATCGTAAAATTCGTTGAAAACTACGTTATGTCTAACGTGTTATTCGCTTTGTTTTTCGCGTTCTCTAGCGAATCGCGCTCAGTGTGAACTAAGCTTAACTCAATACGTCGCGTGTAATTCCTCAATTAAAATTCATACAAACAAAGTGATCAAATTTAGAACGAAATTAATGTAGTGTTAAATGAGAAACACGCGGTAGAAACCGGTTTATTAAAATTAGAAGATTAATGGTATATACAGTGGTACCTCGGTAAACGTCTTCTTTAGAATACATCCAATTTGGAATATGTCCTGTTTGGACGAAACAAATTATGCTCGGTATACGACTTTTGTTCGGTATACGATTTAAATCAATTATACGCGCCATCTATGAACAAGTAGCACTATCGGTGTACTAGACCAGAGTATACGTTTGCGGTGCAACGGTTTATGACTTTGTTAAATTTCTTCTCATTTTAATTTGTAAGTAAAATTTTATTATTTTTATTAATCATGAATTGCAAAAAGGCAAATGAAAAGCAACAGAAAACTATAAAATGACTAGGATCACAATGGAACCGAAAAAAGAAATTGTTGAGAAATATGAAGATGGCATGCGTGTTCGAGATTTTAACTGTTGCATACCGTATTCCGAGAACGACCAGAGTTTAATCGTGAAAAATAAAAACATTATTAAATCTGCTAACGTTGTGAAAGGGGTTAAATCAATTTCTAAACAGAAATCGAAGACATTAGATCACGTTGAGAAATTGCTTTTGCTTTGGATAACTGAAAAACACTGTGCTGGCGATAGCGTATCAGAAGCAATTATTTGCGAGAAAGCTAAAAAGATACAAGCTGATCTCATGAAAAATCAAGCAGGTAGTAGCCAGGAAAACGAGGTGTTTAAAGCCAGCCATTTTTTTCACGTGAGAACGGATTAATCATTTTTACATTACTTCTTATGGGAAAGGTTGGTTTGGTATACGTCCTATTCGGTATAAGTCCAAACATCAGGAACGGATTAAGGTCGTATACCGAGGTTCCACTGTATTTCGAATTATTTTTCTCCGAAGTTAGTAGTAAACCAAACAACTACAAATACGTATTAAGTTTGCCCGTGTTAGACAGACACCTTGCTTCCCTCGCCCATGCACTAAACACTGTGAATTTTCACATTGTATGTTTCCAGTTACAGGTCGATCTTTTGTCTAAATTAAATACACATTAAGTAATCATTCGAAAGTTATTTATTTTTGATTAATAATTACAAAGAAACAAACAAGTCACAAAAAACATCTTAGAACGTTTAAAAATTGATTTCATAAAGAATTCAACATTTGTTATTACAATAACTGATTGATTCTATTTTGAATATCTTGTTGGGCTGCAATCTTAAAAATCTGTAGATCTGAAAATTCCCGCTGTCTGTCAGTATCGCTTTTTTGTTAATCTCGAGAACAGAAATGGATGGATGAAATCCGAAAAACCATATCAGACGAGGAAACCGTACAGTCCGAAGACCATGATTAAGTACGTAAGAACTTCTGATGTAAACCGGAAGATATTATACCTTATTTTAAGTTTTCTCGTGAAAGGGGTTAGATAGACGATCGGCACGACTCTATTGTTAAACGAAAAGTATGGTGTACAGAAGCAACACATTACTAATTTCAAGAAGAGACCATATAAATAAATTGAAGAAAATAAATTAAAAATATGAGTAAAAACTGCAGCCCATCATTGTGGGAATGTCATAATAAAAATTGCTGGTTTTTCTTAATTAAAATAAATTTTTAACACAAATTACAAACAAGATAACGTACAAAGAACATATCTTTCATGGCTTTTTACATGTAAAAAAACTTTTAACTGCAAACATCATCACTACGCTGTGCTGCATTTTTAATCGTATTTTTAATTTATTTTATTTTAAAGATGGTATTTTTTCATTTCAAATTAGTAGGGGGATTACCCGTGTACTTTCTTGCGAGCAATACAGTCGTGCCGTCTTGTAGCTAACTATTTTCAGTAGAAACTGTTAATTAAAATAACCTGCTTCCGTTGCAATCTGAAACTGTCCACTGGTTAATCTGGGCCTATCTTGTCACCACTTCTATCTATCTTATTCGGTCTTCGAGATTAAGCAAATACAGACATTCAGAAAAACAGTGCAAAATAGATCAACAGTTTTTTCAAATTGCAGGCAATTATTACCAACAAAATAGCGGTAGAAGCAATCAGGAAAATCTAAATATTTCAACCTATTGCCCTGTATAATATATTTCGTATATTAGTAAAAAACTATGTATTTCACACATAAAATTCTATTCTAAAAGATGGCTTTGCACGTGAAGTTTTAAAGTAATAAACGAACAAAATTTCTTATCACAAACATCACATTTTTTAACGCCTGAATCGGTATTTATTTTCATATGTCTATTTAAATAAGTCTGTGTCCGAAATGTCTTACTGCAAATTTCGCATTTATACTTTCCTCCTTGTGGATGAGCTGTCTTTTGATGAGTTTGAAATTCGATTTTCGACGTAAATTTCATCTTACAAACGTCGCAACAGAAGTGTATTTGATCCTTGTAAGCAAGTAGATGTTGCTCCAAATCATAACTATTTACGTAAGTCCGTTTACAGATATTACATTGGTAAGGTAATTGTTTGGGGTGTATTTCTGAACAAGAAAATTGTAAATGCAGTTTCAGTTTAATTTCTGTTTTAAATCTGCCTTTACAATGGATGCAAAGATGCTCCTTTTTTTCATGAACAGGTCGGTGCCTATACAGGCTAGATTTATCGTAAAAACCCTTCTTACATACCTCACAAAAGAAACGAAGACTGTCTTTATTGTGAGAATTTTGGTGACGTTTCAACTCAGAATTTGATATAAAACGTCTGTTACACACCTTACAAAGATACGGTTTTATGTCAAGATGAATTCTCTGATGAATGATTAAAGAGGTTTTAGACAATAACTCCTTTTTACAGATATTACATTTTTTAATATGAGTTTTCGAATGCGCTGTCAGCATATTTTTAGTTTTGAATGACTTATTACAATAACAGCAAACAAACATATTTTGATGTTGAACAAAACGATGTTTAACGAAACTAAATCTGGATTTAAATGCTGTTTTACATAAGTTACAAAAATACTTATCACTTCTATCTTTGTGAGTTCTTTCATGTCGTCTCAAATAGCGTTTTGTTTTAAAATGCTTGTTACATATCTGACAACAGTACTTGTGTTCATCGGTATGTATTACAACGTGCTCTCTTAAATGCACCTGTGATTTAAAACTTTTGTTACAAATCTGACATGAATGATTTAAGTCTCTATTATGAGTGATTTTATGATTTGTCAAAGAGCATTTTGTTTTAAAACTTTTGTTACACATCTGGCAAGAATACTTACATTGATCACTGTGAGTTTCACGATGCCTTTTTAACTGGCCATTTGTTTTAAAGCCCTTTTTACATATATCGCATTTGAAAGGTCGATCTTCACTATGAGTTTGTTGGTGTTGTCTCAATGAAGATCTCGTTTGAAATTCTTTTTTACATATCTTACAACAATGAGATACTTGGTGATGTGTTTTGTTATGCCTCTCTAAATTGCCCTTTGATATAAGTAGCTTATCGCAGATGTCACATCGAAAGTGTTTCCTCTTAGATACTTTACGTTCATTTGATGATGATGGCAAACGAAGTTTACTATGATCAATTTCGCTTTGTTTTGTACTGTTGTGTTCTTTCGTGTGTCTTTTCAATAGAAATTGCCAGGAAAATTTCTGATTGCAGGTTGTGCAGCAAAATGGTTTTTTTCCGATATGAAAGTTCAAATGCGCTTGTAGTATTTCCTTGTTTACAAAAGTCTGTTTACATAAATCACATTTGTGATTTTGTTTCGAGTGAGATGAAAGAGTTACTCTGAAATATTTTTTTTTAATCTTTCCTTGGATTTTGCTGTTGTATTTTCTAATTGAAGGGACGAATTTCGTCTTGTTTGCATTACACTTTTGTCTTTCTGAATTGTGCTGAATATCGTATTCTTCACTCACTTCTTTCTCATTAACTGAAATTTAAATGTTAAATACAATAATTACTTAATTTACTTTAAATTAAAACACAATATTCGTTATCTATTTACACCGTTTTTTATATTTTATATCATTAATTACCAATTTTATAGCTTAATAATTATTGATATAATATAAAGTTAATAGCTTAATTTTTGTTTCTGAAAATAAATCGTGTTACTTTGTACAATCGATTACTGCTGAA